GGGGAATGGGGGAATGTTTGGAGATACTTATTTTACCTTAAAAAAAACCCTCTATCATGCCCCATGCTACCCCAAATCTGAGCCACTTTTGAATTCTTTCTACTTTCAAGTTTGACACGCTGCACAAAACCTATATGGTTTCCGGCAGACGGAAATAATTAATTTTTGTTCTGTAAAGCCAATTTGTTCCTTCATCTTTCTAAAAACACTTCAGATATTTGAATATGGCTATTAGATTGCTTCTCCATACTATTTTTTCTAGACTAACCATACCCGATTCTTTAATATTTCTTTCTTGGATATGGTATCTGGGAGCTTCATCATAAACATTCTACTTTATTAATATCCTTTTTGGTCATCCAAAAACTGGGCACAAATTCAAGGCAAGGATTGTGGTATTTCTTCTTGTGAACTAGATAACAACACTACAATTTAAGTAGCCTTTTAAACCAGGGCACTGAAGTACAAATTATTATTGCTTTGTTTGTGAATTACTCAATTTCTGCATGCTTTATATGTCTACTGTGGTCAAACTGGCTATTGTTCATCCTCTAACCACCAAGCTATAAAGAATTCTACATTACACTATCTTAAAACACAGATAATGCCAGTTGGACATTATCCTTTCTATCAGTTTTCATAAAATGAAACATTTCATATCATTACTTTGCTTCTAGTTAACTTGTTCTTTTTGCATACAATCAGCCTTGCATGCCCTTCCACTCTCATCTGCAATCATTTCTTTCATTCAACTGGTTACTAATATTGCTGTGCACATATTTTGATGTGATTTTGAAAATCTATTTAATTTGGGTTCAGCAATTAGATGGCAGAGTAAGTTGCCTGTAAAATATTCCAGCATTCCTATTTTGAAGTTGACAATAAGTGGAACACATTGTAATTTGCTTTACTTATGCGAAGTTATCTTCACAAACGATATGAACAAGCCTCGCTGACCAACCAATCAATAAAATCCTATGTGTTCTGGCCATTGTCTTGATAATTTTCTAGTTTAATGTATGTTGGAACATCTAAAACACTAAGGAAATAGCTGACCTTCAATGAATCATCTTTCTAAATTGACCTTGAGCCATTCTGCAACAATGATTTTCATCTTAATCATGGGTTGCAAGGTTAAATACTTATTTCCCTTTATTTATAACCACTACAATTATTTTTGTAGATAATTCTGAGCCTTAAACTGTTCAATATTATCCATGTTTCTTCACTTTTTCTCTTTATACACTTTGTGAAAGTCCAAAGCTTACCAAAATATCCTCAGAAGTTAAATCATTCCTCATTCATCAAACCTTCATTCTTTTCTCAATGGTGATTATATCCTTTCTGAAATGAATTGCCCAGAATGGCATCTAGTCCTTTTAAGTGATGGGAGGACAAGAAATAATGCAACAGGCTTATGATACCAGTTGCTTGATTTTGAAACCTTTTGTTAGTAATTAGTAATGACTGTTGTCTCAAAGTTTCATGGATATTTTTCTTAAGCATTTGTAGATCACTCATGCACTAATTAGATTTGGACCTTGAGCTTTTGAGGAAATCTCATCTGCCATATCCAGTGTGGAGAGAGATTTTATTTATTTGTTTATTTTTCATAAATGCTGCTTGGCATTTCGCTTTACCTGAGTGACTTAGTATCTTCCCTAAACTCAGTTGCTTTGCTGTTGATTGTGATTTCTGGTAATAGTTAACAATCACATCTTATGATCATGTGTGATTCCAAACAACTCCCAGAAAATATACATCAAGCAAACACCATTATTGCTTAGAACATCATTTTTCTGTTATTGCCTTTATGGAATCCCCAAACGTGCTCTTGTCCCTCTTGTAAATAGTACCATTTCTTGTGTATTGGGATTTCTTCCAGGCTGGGTTCAAGTTACAATGCCACATGAGATAATTTCATGGCTTTAAAAAGAATATGGGGGCAACAGATTAAGCACCATTGTTTTGTGACATGTATGGAAGTTGCATGTGATTCTTGTACACATACCACCCACATGGCTATGACTTATAGTGGCACTTAGTAGATTGTCCCCTATATTGCTATAAAATATGTATCTAGGTATATTTTTATATATATATATATGTGTGTGTGTGTATATTTGCAGTAATAATCTATTGCTTATTGCTGTTATACATACTGCACAAACTAAACTTTCTCATTCTTTTTCTTGAAAGAAAAATCTACTCCCTCACTATCTTACTTAGCAACTGAAACTACATTACGTCATTAGAAACTACTTATAGAAGTATTGTATGGAACTCAGACCAGTGTGATACGAATAGATTCAAACATGCTTGCTAGGGTGACTTGCAACTGTATATTAATTGTGCATACTTTGTTTATTTGTTTATGTTTATTTTATTTGTCTTCACTGAAATTAACTAGAAAGTAAATCAGCTAGAAAGTGAATTTTGTTTTGATTCACACCATCTAACCATGACAGTTGTTAAAGGTAAGTTGGGATTGTGCTTTCAAAGACTACACAAGGAGTTGAATTTCAACCACAAGAGTTGAATCCCTGACTCAAAACTGTTCTGTTCAAGTCTCTGGAATGAATTTTCCCAAAATCAATTTCCCTCTGAGAAATGGAGCAGAATTGCTCTAATCCCTTGGGTATGTAAGGAGGTTGAGTTTTTCATGAACCAAAATGGAACATAACGAATTATGTTAGTATTTTCTGCCCGTCTGAACATGGCTTTCTGGCAATCTGTACAGGTTGATCCATAGCATTGATTTCTAGCTTCATTTAGGGAAAATAATTGACATCTCGGATTTTCTTTAAAAGTTAGACTATAGTCCTATCATTCATTCAGGCATCAACAGACTCAGCACCTAAAGGGGTTTTTTTTGGGGGGGGGGGAAGGGGGGAGTCAGGTTTGTGACATTGCTCTTCATGACCAGATACAGTATATCACTGGTCTGACTGAAAACAGGGCATGAGCTATATAGACAGAGGTGGCATTCAGCAGGTTCTAACCAGTTCTGGAGAACAGGTCGCGGAAATTTTGAGTAATTCTTCAGAGAACTGGCAAATACCACCTCTGACTGGAGATTTAACAATATCCTTCCCTTGCCACGCCCACCAAGCCAAGCCCACAAAACCGGTGGTAAAAAAATATTGAATCCCACCATTGTATATAGAATATGTGCAGAGAAGATAGATGGAGTCCTCCTTCATCATTCCAGAATATTTTTGCTCCTGCATCTCCCAAAGCCCTCAGGTCACATATTTGAACATTGTCACATATGAGGCAGGCAGATTTTTGCCTTAATTTCTTGCTCAAGTAATATATCTTACAACTCTAGTTGCTAAAGTTACTAATATCATGAGCATACCTTGGAATATTTTGACTCTGACTTACATTGTCTGGATGAAAAGGTACAAGTAAGGAAAAGTGAAAGCTCAAAGTAGTTAGACACATAACACTTTTATAAAAGGGAACTTTTAAACCAAATTAAGAAGTCATTCACCACCTCAAACACATTGATTGACCTGCTCCAGACTTGCTAAATTGCTATGAATAAACAGACCTGCAATATTATCTTCTTGTAATTGGACTTCATTATGTTTCTGCGTTTAGGGAATACACCATATGGTTCAAGATGCAGCCAGATGTAGTTTACTAATAAGTACCTGTTGTTGCCCAGGAAAAAAAATGTTTGCCCAGCCCTACTAAAAAAATTTCCAGATTGTGATAGTGTTCTACTCAGATCTAAGAAAGAAAACCAGGGCTTATGTTTGCCTAGCAAATCATCCAATCTGCCTTGATGTGAGAACCTGATAATTATTTGATAGTTTGCTGAAAATTCTGCAAAGAGGAATCTTGTAACCGTTTATGCTTGATGGATTTTAGTTTCCCAAATTAGGACAGAAGTATGCTACTTTTTTTCCAAGACATAAGTTCAAGGATATGACTGAGGCTATGGATCAGTTATCCACGCTTGTTATTACTTGTCTAATTTATACAACACCTTTCAATAAAATTCATGGTCACTTTCAGTAGGTAGGGTGGTGCTTAGTAATTCTCTCTTCTTCGCTTAAGGCGGGGTCCCCAAACTTGGCAACTTTAAGACTTGTGGACTTCAGCTTCCAGAATTCTCCAGCCAACATAGTTGGCTGGAGAATTCTGGGAGTTGAAGTCCACAAGTCTTAAAGTTGCCAAATTTGGAGTCCTCTGACTTAAGATGACACACATTGGATTAGAAGATCTACAAGGAGCCAACTAAGGGCCTCCAAAAAGTTCACATGAACAATATGATAGAAATGGGGTTATCTCCTAACAATGTCCACAGAAAAACATGCTATTTCCATAGATAAATATTCTAAAAACCAATTCGTGGGTCTGAATAACAAATTGGTTGAAATCACCATCCTATATTTTTCCTCCCCAAAAGCTGCTGTTAAAAACAACCCTGAAATTTAAGAGGCTACTTCATCAAGGTTTTGAGAAAACTTCACTTTGATTCTGATTGTACACAATTCTAGCTTCTAGCCCCCACACATACCAACTCAGAAGTGAGCTTTGTAGGATTTTAGCCGTAAAACAATTTAAACTAACCCATGGAACAACTAAACAAGCCGTACTGTACATTGAGATTATAATTACAGATGAAAATGTCATTTAAAAAACACAACAACAGGAGGTTGTTCTCCACGGCAGGCTGCGTGTAAAGACTCCTGCTTCTTCGATTTATGCATACACACAGCTTCATGTATAACTGTATCTTCAAATGCATATTTGTATGTATGTACACCAAGATACATGTGCAGTTCTCTGTATATTTATCCAAAACAGAAACAGAGAGCAGTTAAATAAGCACACGTATACACAGAAAGGGTGGGGACTGTCCACCTTGTCATGCCATTATGAGAAAGGACAGTTGAAGATTGCTGATTTTACAACCATTAAAATTTTGCCATTTTTAACGGGGGGAGAAAAAGCTCTTTTAAAACTCCCCCCCTCTTTTCTCACTCTTTTTCTTAATTTTCCCCCCTTTTCTCTCTCTCTCTTTCTCTCATTTTGTGCAGTAAGCATCATTGGAAGAAGACCAAAGCAGAGCAACTATAAGTTAAATATACACTTGAGCTTAGCTGCATTTACACTATTCTTTTTTTTTTAGGAGAAGCAGGCTGAAAGGGACTTTTTTGTTTGCTTAATCAGTATGTGTATTTTGATTTCTCTCTTTCTCTCTCTCTCTCTCTCTCTCTTTTCCTTACCATCCTCAAATTCTTTCACTAATCACCATAGATTTGTCTCCCTACAAACTGCATCATCTTCTGAAGAACGTTGGGTTTCGCAGGCAGGCGGCTAGTCACCTGCAACAACCGAGGGGCCCTGCAGAAGCTTCCAAACTGCTGTCGGTGTCCGATGCCAGGGTCTGGTCTGTGGACATGGAGGAAATGTCATTGACAGATGAGGAGGGAGGGAGGCTGTCGCTGCTGTTCACTGCTGCACCTGTGCTAAGAAAATGAACACCGACGTGATTCAACCTGGAAGCAAGAGAACGCTCGAGGAGAATGGAACTTTATTCTTTTACATTCGTTTTAGAAGAATAAACGCAACGTGCCTTGCCAGCCCAGCCCTCCAGTGATGCCTGGCATTTCTCTTTCTAAAGGACGAAAACTAGACCTTTGTGAATCGAGGGAGAGAGAGTGACAGGGGCTCCTCAGAGGCTCTAAGCCAGATGTGTGTGTCAAACTCGATTTCATCGAGGGCCATGACGGGGTTGTGCCTGACCTCGGGGGGCGGGGCTGAGGTGGGCAGGGCCAGGGTGGGCGTGGCCAGCATGACATCACTTGTGTCAGGGGGCTCCTGTAGTGGCCCGAGTGCTCTGCCAGCGAAAACAGGTTCCCGAGCTTCATTTCTGGCTACAACTCTCTGCCAGAGAAAATGGAGCTCAAGGAGGGTCACGCGAGCTTGATTTTCAACTGAGATGGCCTCCTAGAAACCTCTGCCAGTGAAAACAGAGCTCTGTTTTCACTAGCAGAGGCACTGCGGGCCGGTCTTTCACTATTTCCAGGGCAGCCCCACGGGCCAGATGCCGCCCCTGGGCTTTCAGCTTGACACCTCTGGTCTAAGCTATACAAAAATGGCCAATTACATTGGCTATGCCACGGGTGGGGGAATTATGGCCCCTTTATGACTTGTGAACTTCAACTCCTAGAATTCCAAAGCCAACATGGCTGGCTCAGGAATTCTGGGTGTTGAAGTCCACAAGCCATAAAAGGGCCATAGATCCCCACCCCTGGCCTATGCCCAGTCCTGATTCGCTGGAAGTTTGGATGTTGGAAAAGAAAGGAGGGGTCTTGTCACAGGTTTCCTCAATCCTTAACATTGTTGGTACATGGCCCTCAATAAGGGGGAAATTACTTAGGTGCCCAGAAAGAGGAAGAGACATAAGAGTCCTTGGCCTTATATCCAAGTTATCACACTTCTGACGACCAATTACATGATGGGGATAGTGGTGGGGATACGAAGGAGGGAACAAAAGGGATCACCTTGAGAATTTTGGCTCTAGCAAAATTTATTTGGGAAATGCTACAATTCCCCCAAAAATATCTGGATGGGGGTGGAAGATTTCCTATCATGAGCCAAAAAATAGTTGCAATTAATCAATAATTAAATATAGTTAATCAACACCAATGTAATGCAATTAATATGAAGTGTGTGTGATTAATATGTAATTAAAATATTAATTACATTAATTAATGCAACTAATATGTTTATCGCCCAAGAGATTGCAATATTTGATTTGCTTAGAGATGCATGTTGCATCCCTTACTGGATTTCATCAATATTGAATAGAATAAACAGAAAATGCTATGTATTACTTTGGTTTTCCACTGCAATCACAAACTCCTTAAAGTAAACCATGTTCTTTTCAGTTGTCCAGTCTTGTGTTTTCTATCATCCTTGAGAAGTGACCAATATGCATTTATTATTAGGAGCCCTGGTGGCGCAGTGGTTAGAATGCAATATTGCAGGGAAACTCTGCCCACAGCCTGGAGTTCGATCCTGAGAGTGCTCAAGCCTTCCATCCTTCCATGGTCGGTAAAAGGAGGACCCCAGATTGTTGGGGGCAATAGGCCGACTCAGTAAACCGTTTAGAGAGGGCTGTAAAGCACTATGAAGTGGTATATAAGTGCTATTGATATTATTATGTTTCTTTATGGTTTTTATTTTATTGATTATTGCTATCGATTATTAAAGTTACAAGTTGCCAATCTTGCCCAAAGCGACTTTAGGCAGCTCACAGATTAAAATGCACTATCAAACATTAAAACAATAAATATGGATTTTACATTTTAAATTCAATTAATGTAAAGCTAAGCAGGATGGAGAGGGAAAGAGCAAAATGTACACACGGAGGAGGCGGGGTGTTCTATTCTCCCGTTAGCCAAGTGTGTGCACCTCCACTGGGGCTCCAGGCTAGCTGGCACAGACTTGTCTTCAAGGCCTTTTGCAAGTGGATCTGACCTCGGGGAGGAGACGTTCCGGAGCCAAAGCAGAAAAGGCCCTTCTGCTGGACTCCAAAATTCCTTGGCTGACAAGGGCTGGGCTAATCCCATTGGGGTGAGCTGCTTTCTTAGATCAGGGGAATCAAACTCAATTTTATTGAGGGCCACATCAGAGTGGTGTTTGACCTGGGGAGGGGTCCGAGGTGGGCATGGCCAGGGTGCAGTGGTGGGATTCAATTTTTTTTTTACTACTGGTTCTGTGGGTGTGGCTTGGTGGGCGTGGCAGGGGAAGGATACCGTAAAATCTCCAGTCAGAGGTGGGATTGGCCAATTGTTAAAGTGAATCATGCACTAATTAAACAAATCTGGCTCCTCCCAATTCACTTTGCTTGTTGGAAGACATCTGGGAAGTTTACAAATGGTTGATTACATTATCCCAGGACAGTGCAACTCTCATAAATACATGTCCCAAAGGTGCTTTTTCTAGAGACCACTGGACTTTCTTGGGTTTTGTTTGTTGTTTTTTGAAGAGGTTTCACTCCTCATTCAAGAAGCTTCTTCAGTTCCAGCTGAAGAAGCTTCTTGGCTGAGAAGTGAAATGTCTTCAAAGAAAAACAAAGGAAGTCCAGTGGCCTCTTAAAAAAAGCACCTTTGGGACAACTATGACCTGAATTCTGTCATAAATTCATGTTAATTGCCAAGCACCTGAATTTTGATCATGTGACCATGGGGGCGTGGCAACAGTCATAAATATGAAAAGTAGTCATGTCAATTTTTTTCAGCGCCACTGTAACTGTGGACTGTCACTAAACAAATGGCTTTTAGCAGAGGTGGTGTTCAGCCAGTTCTGACAGGTTCTGGAGAACCGGTAGAGGAAATTTTGAGTAGTTCGGAGAACCGGCAAATACCACCTCTGACTGGCCCCGCCCCCATCTATTCTCTGCCTCCTGCATCCCAGCTGATTGGCTGGGTCTTCTTTGGTTGCCCTGCACAGGAGAAAGGAGCAGGAAAGCAGGTTAGTGGGGTGGGGAGGTAATGGAGATTTTGCAGTATATCCTTCCCCTGCCACGCCCACCAAGTCACGCCCACAGAACCGGTAGTAAAAAAAATTGAATCCTACCACTGGTTGTAAGTGAAGGACTACTTGCAATTCATTGCAAGGAAATTGGTGAGATATGTTTAAAAGAACAGTCCTCTGTTTATCAGGAAAGAGGAAAATAATGTGTTTTCTGCCAGCCACAAACAGTAGTTTGGAATAAGGCCGATCCTCCATTTTAAGTGAAAGCTGAGTTTAATTAGTCTGTCTATATTATTTCCCCCTACAAGCACATCCTATCATTGTTCCCCATAAATCACCTAAGAGGCAGGGCTTTCTATGACAAATTTGCCCATGAACCATGATTTATTCTGACATCCGCTCCATCTTCAAGAATAATGATGCTGGGCCACAGCTCAGTAAGCTCTTAAATCAAATTTGTGTATTCCGTCCCTCACTTTTCGGCTCTGTAAGGACTTGTTGAATGGCCTTTCTGACATAACTGAAACAAATGTCCGGTACTGAAAGGTTTATGATAATCCAGACATCTACCCTGAAATTCCTTCTGGCTTTTCTGTCCTCAATAACAACATGGTGGAGGGAGATTAGTGAGGCAAAGAAAACGAAAATGGATGGTAATTTTGCATCATTTTTTCCATGATGGGGAACTCTAAAAAAAACCCAATAATAATTGGTAAGTCTGAATCTTCTACCCATGCCCACAAGCACACCAAGTTTTGATACTCCTAGCAAACTGCAAAGACAAAGAAACAAATAAAAGAGATATAACAAACTTCTGGGTACGTCACATGCATAGCACGTAAGCTGAATATTGAGTAGACCTGGCATTAATTGAGAAAAAACAGTGCAGAAATAATTTCTGACATAATAACAGAGAACAAAGAAAAGTATGTGATAAACCTGCAGCTGAAGTGCGGGGGGGGGGGGGGGGGGGGGAATAGACACAAGATACCACGAACCCGTCTGTCAAATCCTTAATGATGGCTAAGGAAGTGACTGCAGAACCTTAATGTTTCATTGAGCACTGAATTAATACATGACATCGGAAAACTAGCTTCATTCATTCAAAGTTCTGAAAGCAAATAAGTGCAGTCTGATATATTGTTATTTAGAAGTAAGCCCCAATTAATTCTGCAGGGCTTATTCCTAGATAAGCGGATTAGCTGAGAGTTAATACAATTCTTTTTTTAACTGAGTTCAGTTAATATAGCTTATCTTCTTCTAGTGCTCTATCTCAGCCTTTCCCAATCTGGGACCCAAATCCTACAACTTCTCAAAATACTAGCTGGGAATTCTGGAGTTATGGGTCCATAAACACATCTGCCCAGCCCTACATAATTAAAAGGGACCAAGTTGTTCAAGGCTACAAAATTACTTGGAATACATCCTAGCTTCCAATCAATGGAAATCTACTGTTTTTAGGTACTATTTCTAGATGCTGATGAAGAAAGGATCTGCCTTAAGGTCTGTAACCATATAAAATACTAGCTCGATACCCATGCTTTGCTACGAAACTATGTGACCAGGCTTAGTTTTTGGTGAGGAAAATAAAGAGAAAAAAATTCTGCCTCTGCCTACCAGCATCCATTGGTATTCATCGGTCTAGTATCCTGTCAGTGTGTAAGAGAGTTGAGGGCTGGTTGAAAACTGAAACAGTATTTGCTGTGTGAGCAAGGAGACAGCAAGGAGCCTGGGCATGGCTTAGCTCAACTGTTCTGTACTAAAGCTGCTTGCAGCAGTGAAACAAAAACTGAAACTGAAATTCCTCTCTTCTGCTTGTGTTTTGCATTTGGAGCAGATTTCTTTTCACGTGGAGAGGGGGAGTAGAACTCCTTAGCATCAGAGTGTGTTAATAATAATATAGGAAATACTAATGCTCTGATGGTCATTTTGAAAAATCCTTTCTTAGCGAGCACCTAGAAGCCAAGAGGAACATACATGCCAAATTTCAAGTTTGTAGGCTTTAGGGTTCTGGAGATTTTGTGATGATGCATGAGTGGTATTTCGCTTTTATATATATTCTTTTCTTAAGTTTTCGCGGGTATTTATATGTATGGTATTCAGCTTTGTTCAGGTATTTTCCCACATCATTATAGTTGTGCTTTTAAAGTTGTAGCAACGTTTCAGCAGAATCTCATCTGCCATCATCAGGCTTCTGTATTGTGTTCGTCTGTCAGACGAACACAATACAGAAGCCTGATGATGGCAGATGAGATTCTGCCGAAACATTGCTACAACTTTAAAAGCACAACTATAATGACATGGGAAAATACCCAAACAAAGCTGAATACCATACATGTAAGTACCCGTGAAAACTTAAGAAAACAAATATATATGTCATTCACTTGGACTGAGTACCTGAGGGAGAAGGTTGTCCTTTTACTACACCATTTTTAGTCTTTTCTTCGGAATTCATTACTTCCTTGTAGATTAATTCTGCAAGAGATAAAGGAGCTTGTTATAAAGATACTTTATTACTTCCCCATGTTAAAAAGATGTTTTATTATTTCCCCATATTGTTTAAAACCACTCCTGACAGTGAATAAAAACCTTGTAAACAAGGACGCTAAAATGAATAGCCAACTATGTTTTTCCTAGCTATCATCTATCCTAGTCTTGCCCAAGTCAACTGCCTTGAAGAACCAAGGAATTACAGGTCTCCCTTGTCGTACAACAGTTCATTTAATGACACATTAAAGTTACAACGGCACGGGAAAAAAAGTGATTTATGACCAATTTTTCACACTGATGACCGTAGCAGTACCCCCATGGTCACGTGATCAAAATTCAGACACTTGGCAACCACTTCATATTTATGATGGTTGCAGTGTCTCAAGGTCACGTGATCCTCTTTTGCGACCTTCTAATGAGCAAAGTCAGTGGGGGAAGCCAGATTCGCTTAACAACCGGATTACTCACTTATCAACTGCAGCAATTTGCTTAACAACAGTGGCAAGAAAGGTGGTAAAAGGGGGAAACGGTCACTTAAAAAATGTCTTGCTTAGGAGCAGAAATTTGGGGCTCCATTGTGGTCATAGGTTGAGGACTATCTGTACCTGTCTTCTGGCCTGCAAAACTTCACAGTGATTCTGATGCACTAACAATTTCTTGGAAAGGGCCTCCGATGAGCCTAAGTTTAATTTCCTGGGTCCTTGATTTGATTGTCACAAACTTAGATGGCTTGTTCATTAAGTCTGTTAAGGAAATGCCCGACATCTCAAGAAATATTGTATTTAATATTATACATATTAAATATTATGGCATAAAACCTCCATCACTACAACAGAGGTGGTATTCAGCAGGTTCTGACCAGTTCTGGAGAACCGGTAGTAGAAATTTTGAGTAGTTTGGAGAACCAGCAAATACCACCTCTGACTGGCTGGCCCTGCCCTCATCTATTCTCTGCCTCCCATTGAGTCCCAGCTGTTTGGCTGGGTCTTCTTTTGTTGTCCTGCACAGGAGAACGGAGCTGGAAAGCAGGTTAGCGAGGTGGGGAGGCAATGGGGAAATTGCAGTATCCTTCCCCTGCCACGCCCACCAAGCCACGCCCACCAAGCCGCACCACACCCACAGAACCAGTAATAAAAATTTTTTGAATCCCACCACTGTACTACGCCACCGACTGAAACCAATTGGATGAGCAGGGGGATTGTCATTCAGCACTAGCTATTGCATAGTAGGATAATTATATAACAAATCCTCGACTTACAACCATTATTAAGCCTGGAATTACTCTCGTACATTAAGTTGTATGGTAGTTAAGTGGATCGCCACATGAAGGCCCCCGTGATTTTGTGACCTTTGTGTGACGGTCATTAAGGGATTACCATGGTTGTTAAATGAACATCACAGCCATTAAGCAAATGCAGTGGCCATTAAATGAATCCATTTTATCCAATGGGTGTTTTTTGCTGGAAACCAGAAGGGAATGCTGGAAACCAGCAAAATTGTGGTCAGGTGATTGTAGGATGCTGCAAACATCCATAAATGTGAGACAATTGCCAAGCGCCCAAAATGTGATCATATGACCACAGTGGGGCGGTGAGGCAGCAGCTGGAACTCAGGGACCAGTTTGGAAGTACCTTTTGGGGGTAGTTGTAACTTCGATCGGTCACTAAGCGAGGACTATCTGTATTGCATCTGAAAACCATTTAGCAATCCAGTGCAGGTTGCATAGTGAACACAATTCTGTCCTACAGTAACTATAGCAGTAAGGGAGTAATAAGAAATTTAGTGTGAAGTCATTGCTGCCATCATTCAGCATCTGATGCCTGAATCTATGATCAACTATGCCCAATGGTAGGACTGGTTCAGATTATGGCATTACAGCTTTCTTGTGGTCACGTGTTTCTTCTGCGAAGACATTAGGCCAACTCATTGTATCTTCCTAAATGTCCCAAATGAAAGTAGAAAAGGCTAAAAAAAAAAAAAAAAACTCAATTGCCAAGTTCGGAGCTCAAACCAACACCCTAACTGCCAACCTGAGTGACTAATATTCAAACACATTCTCAAACTTCTCAAGAATTACTGAACATGCTCTGAGTGCATACTCAATCCCCATGCAGTGCAGGAGGCACCAGGAGGTGGAGAAGCCAAGAGTCAAGGACAGATATCAAGGGCAGAATCAGATCCTATACCTTGTATAGGTTAAAAATAATTACCTTTCCACTCTTCGATTGTGTGTTCTCTTTCATCCAACTGCTTGTCATAGATCTGTGGAGGTGGCTGTGAATTAAAACATAGAGAGATCAACGGAATAAGTTAAATTGGGGACATAAAACAAAAGTTTTGAACTCAGTTTTAACTTGGGTGCCAAAATAGTTAAGAAATGAAAAGCTCCGCAAACGTGAACCAAGCATGATTTGTGCAGTGTGTGGAGGCAATCAAAAAACCCAACAGAATCCTAAGTTGCATTAACAGAGGGATACAATCAGGACCAAGTGAGGTACTAATACTGCTTTATAAAGCCTTAGTAAGACCACACCTAGAATACTGCATTCAGTTTTGGAGAGCAACCAGGATGATTAGGGGACTGGAGACTAAAACATATGAAGAACGGTTACAGGAACTGGGCATGGCTAGTCTAGTGAAGAGAAGGACCAGGGGAGACAGGATAGCAGTTTTCCAATATTTGAGGGGCTGCAACAGGGAGGAAGGGGTCAAGGTATTTTCTAAAGCGCCTGAAGGCCAGACAAGGAATAGTGGGTGGAAACTGAACAAGGACAGATTCAACCTGGAAATAAGGAGAAATTTTCCGACAGTGAGAACAATCAACCAATGGAACAGAAATTGCCTTCAGAAGTTGTGAGACCTTCCTCACTGGAGGCTTTCAAGAAGAGATTGGACTGCCATTTGTCAGAAATGGTGTAGGGTCTCCTGCTTGAGCAGAGGGTTGGCCTAGATGACCTACAAGGTCCCTTCTAACCCTGATTATCTATTATCTGACCACAATGACTCATGCAGTTATCATCTTGCATTGGTCTACTATAATTTGCTCTATCTGGGACTTGAAGGTTGCTTGGATGTTACAGCTGATGCAAAGTACATCTCTTCACAGGAAGAAGCTGTTATAGCAGAATAGCACAAATATTGTGTAAACTGTACTAGCTGCTGGTTTGCTTCTGGGTCCAATTCAAAATGCTGGCAATTTCCTATAGAATCTTAAGGCTCAGATCCTTGCTATTTGCAAATGTATCTCATTCATGTGGAATTTATTTGCAAGCTGAGAAGGTATACTGAAGACTATGCCAATTCTTTGAGCATCTAATCTAATCTAACCTAATCTAATCTAATCTAATCTAATCTAATCTAATCTAATCTAATCTGTGCCTCAACCAGATCTAACCCAGCCCTTGAAAACCCAGTCAGAGAGTTCCTTTTGCTCATCTAAAGAGTGAAGCATGCAAGCCAGGCCCAGACAGACGAAAACTTGGGATCGATCCCGTGAAGTCTGATAGCTGATGGTTCCCACGCACTGTTAGAACTATAGCTAGCATTTATTAATGAGTGAGACAGCAGAGAGAGCAAGTCACAGGGCAGTAGGGGAGAAGGGGTGGAACAAAAGAGCCAGACAAAAGAAAAAAAATGTGAAATCTCATCCAAAATGATGCACTTGTTCTTTCTTTCTTTCTTTCTTTCTTTCTTTCTTTCTTTCTTTCTTTCTTTCTTTCTTCCATAGCTCCTCTCTAGGTTTTGACCTCATGGATGGATGGAGGAGAAAATTGGACTGAACTAAAAAGGGGGTCACATCAGCTGAGACACTAAATTGTCCATTCAAGAGGAAGAATATAAAGCAAAGGAAAAGGCTTAAGATCTCGGTAGCCTTTTTTTCTTCTAGAAAATCTTTCTCCGAAAGGAGGAGGAGGAGAAGCAGAGACAGCTTACTGTGAGCCACACTTTAGCCTTTGAAGCAATTTTAGGAGGTTATGTAGCACCTTTAAGTGCAAGTAGATTGCAAGCATGCAAGATGAAGAAGCCCATTTCTTGCGTTCTTCATCAACCAGGGGTTCAATCGTGAGTTATAATTGGAAATCAAGTACAGCTAGTCCTCGGCTTAAAACCATCCATTTAGGGACTGAAGTTACAATGCCACTGAAAAAGCGACTTATGACCATTTTACCCACTTAGGGCTAAATGCGACATCCCCATGGTCACGTGATCAAAATTCAGCCACTTGGCAACTGGCATGTACTTATGTCTGTTGCATCGTCCCAGGGTCACGTGATCACCATTTAGTAACCTTCCCAGCCGGCTTCCGACAAGCGAACTCAATGGGGGAAATCAGATTCACTTAACGACCGTGTGGTTCCCTTCACAAGCTGTGGCGATTCGCTTAACAACTGCAGCACAAAGGTCATAGCCTGGGGCAAATCTCACTTAAGAACCGCCTTGGTTAGCAACAGAAATGTTGGGCTCCATTGTGACTGTATGTTGAGGGTTACATGAATAGATAGTCCACGGTTGGGACAAAATGGAATGGTGAAAAAAGTAAGGTTCTACATTTAGGCAACAAAAAACCCCCCCAAATGCACAGGTACAGTATAGGTGGTGCCTCGCTCAATAGTAGTAACTGTGAGAGGGATCTCGGAGTCCTAGTGGATCAATCATTTCAATATGAGCCAGCAGTGTGCAGCAGCTGCCCAAAAAAGCCAACACTGTTCTAGGCTGCATAAACAGAGGCAGTGGTGGTATTCTACCGGTTCTGCCCGGTTCTGCCAAGCCGGAAGCGGTGATGAGCAGCGGAGACCAAACCAGTTCTCTCCGCCACTCTGCTATTGGGCCCGCCTGCCCACCTGGGCTCCCATACTCACCTTTATCCTCTGAATTTGAAGTGCAGCTGCTTTGCATGGCACAGAAGAGTGCTGCGCGGCAGCTGCTGAAGCAACCGGGATCGTGCAGGCTTGCAGGAGGCGAGTTAGAACACCCCTGCGCCTGCGCCTGCGCAAACGCCTCTGCGCCTGTGAGTTTGGTGCATGTGTGAACGCAAAGCGCGCGCACGCATGCAAAGCGCGCCCACCAAGCCACACCCACCGAACCGGTGGTAAAAATATTTGAATCCCACCACTGAACAGAGGGATAGAATCAAGATCACGAGAGTTGTTAATACCACTTTATAATGCCTTAGTAAGGCCACACTTGGAATCCTGCATTCAGTTTTGGTCACCACGATGTAAGAAAGATGTTGAGACTCGAGAAAGAGCGCAGACAAGAGCAACCAAGATGATTAGGAGACTGGAGGCTAAAACATATCAAGAACGGTTGCTGGAACTGGGTAGGTCTAGTTTGACGAAAAGAAGGACTAGGGGAGTGACACGATAGTAGTCTTCCAATATCTCAGGGCCTGCCCCAAAGAAGAGGGAGTCAAGCTATTCTCCAAAGCACCTGAATGCAGGAGAAGAAGCAACAGATGGAAACTCATCAAGGAGAGAAGCAACCTAGAACTAAGGAGAAATTTTCTGACAACGAGGACAATTAATCAATGGAACAACTTGCCTCCAGAAATTGTAAATGCGCCAATACTGGAAGTTTTAAAGAAGAGGTTGGACAACCATCTGTCTGAAGTGCTGTAGGGTTTCCTGCCTAAGCAGGGGATTGAACTAGAAGACCTCCAAGGTCCCTTCCAACTCTGTTATTCTATTCTATAATTTCTATTGCTAAGTAAGGTGATTGCTAAGGGAGTCGTACCCGATTTTATGCCCTTTTTTGTTACAACTTTTCAAATGGTTGTTAAGCACATCACTGGAGTTCTTAAAAATGAATCGTCTTAGCAAGGAGTCATCTTGATAATCAACAGCAATTGTTGTGAAGACATGCTGGTTGCCAAGCAGCTGAATTTTGACCTGCAGTGGCCATAAGCATGAGGGCATTCAAGTACTCTTGTAACTTCAAAAGGTTGGTAAAGGAATGACTGTAAGGAGAGGGCTTCTCTGCTAATTTGTAGTTTTCCATCCAAAACTTGGTCCTCGCTTAATTTCATCTCATCTTTTTAAAAATCAGATTGGTCCCAAACATTTTTGTTAATTAAAAACAACACACTATAAAATAATTATATTAATTCATGGGCTTGGTTGCTGCTATTGAACTGGCTTGCCCCTTACATCTTCAAACAGATGCTGGTAACCATGGTTACTGTTGCCAAGGAAATAAAAAGGAAAAGCCTTGGGATTGTGTTGACTTCTAGCTTGACCAATTCCCTTCGCCTGGAATTTGAGATCCTCTCACCATTGCAAAGACTAAATGTGTTCATATAATAGGTAATAAAATTTTATATACTTTTAATCTGAAAAAAAGACATCTATAACACCCTCCGTTCTCCAGGGAAACAGGGCAAGGGTGTTGCAGAATTTATAGTTAGTTGCGCCTCAAGATAAGTAGACATGTTTGTGAGCATCTTCACAGGTTATTTGTTGTAAATAGGGATCAAGTGTCTGTTGTATGTTTG